AATCGAAGAGTGGTGCAATCCAAAGGCATGAATGCAACCCAAAGGGTGCAATCCAAAGGGCATGTGAGTATGAGAGTGCAATCCAAAGACATGAGAGTGCAATACAAAGGATATGTGAGCATGACAGATCTAAGAGAGAGACACACAGAGTCGGAAATAACAGCTGACATAGGCAGGTAGGATGGAAACATCATAGTCAGTTAAGACTTTACCTAGTTAATAATGTCCTTCCAATGATTGCTGAGTTTGTACCCATCCTCTCGGTTGAAGTTGTGTCTGTTTATATATCTGGATGGCTTCATGAACAAATCTCTGTAGGTAGTCGGTAGGTTTGCTGAGTACTTCAGTCTTGGAAAAATCAATTTCGTGTGAGCCCACAGCATTAAAACAATGATTGGCAATGGCAGAGGTATTGGTCCTACCATCTTTCAGATCTGCCTTGTGTTCACGAACCCGGTCCGAGACATGTCGTTTCGTTTCCCCAATGTAACTGCTGCCGCAACCACAACTCAGTTTGTAGACACCAGGGTATTGCATGTCAGGAATCACATCCTTTACAGATGGGATTAAATCACGGATTTTGTGTACTGTGTTGAATCGTACCTGGATCTTGTGTTTGTTTAAGATTTTGGAAATCTTTTTGTTAACCCCTGCTATGTACGGTAAAGTGATGATTTTGGTTGGATCCTCAGAAGGTTGTCTCCGCATGGCTGGGGTGACAACTTTGCTGTTTGTACGGTCCAAGTATCCGTTCATCCTGAGGGCTTGGTGTACGTGCTCCAACTCACTGGCTAGGTGGTGCTGGTCAGAGATAAAACGGGTCCTATGGTGTAGTATTTTGATGAGGGAATTTTTCTGGGCTGGATGGTGGTGGGAGTCAGGCTTGAGATAGGCATCTGTGTGGGTGGCTTTCCTGTAGACCGATTGTCCCAACGAGCCATCAGGTCTCTTCTCGATCAAAACATCCAGGAATGGTAGCTTGCCATTCTATTCCACTTCCATGGTCAATTTGATAGACGGTGTATGGAATTGATGTGGTTGAGAAATTGTTTCAGTGCTGGCAGGCCATGTGGCCAGATACGAACGTGTCATCCAAGTATCTCTTCCACAAGGAAGGACGTAGGGTGGATGTCTGGATGCCATCTGTCTCAAATTTCTCCATGAAACATTTGCTACCACTGGCGATAAGGGAGAACCCATTGGGGTACCCTCATTTTGTTTGTAGAATGTACCATTCCACGTGAAGCATGTGTTGGTAAGGCAGTGCCTTACCAAAGTTGGTACATCTGGATTTAGTCCTTGTTGGACCAGGTCTTCAATGATTACAATGGTGTCAGATGCAGGTACATTGGTGAACAGAAAGACTACATCGAAACTGACAAGCAAATCATCTGGAGACAGTGAGATATCCCTGATTAGAGAAACCAAGCGAGCTGCGTTAAGTACAGCTGAGGTGGACTTGCCCGTGAAAGGAAGCAGGGTCTCAGAAAAAAATCAGGCCACTTCCGTGCCCTCGTCTAGGAGGCCGCTTTGGATTGCACCACTCTTCAATTTCACATTAACATGCTAATCTCTCACATTAACATAGCCACTTCCATGCCCTCGTCGAGGAGGCCGCTCTCCTATCTTACAGTTTCATGCTAAATTCTCACATTAGCATCACTAGCCCCGGCCACTTCTTTATGGCCCTTGGGCTACACCCATTTCAAACCTTTTTAAAACAGTCTGCCTCAGCAGCAGACCATGCTTTCCCACCTGATGACGGACGCTTGTGTTGCGCCCGAAACGTCGTGATTTATTTATTTTATACCTACGTGACTTTACCGAAAGAACAAAAGAGTATAATGGTAAAGTAATTACTAAAAGCATAGTTTGTATCAATTTAGCATTTTTGTAAAAATATAGGCTTGAATATTTACATCATGATGTGCAAATTAAAGTACTGTAATCTCGAACAGAATGGGTTTTTTAATCGCATAATAATAATATGAATTGGGTTTTTTTCCTACGTTAAAAAATTGGTTGGTCTTCATTGTAAGTGGTAAAAAAATATATACGGTATGCCTTTGGAAGACCCAAAGTCATCTCTATCAGCAGGTACAATCAAATTCCCAGTGCAAGCCATATTGATTGAGCTTTGGCAGTACAGTGTATTGTCAAATAAAGATAACATCATCCTAAAAAAATAACATACCTCTTTTGACATAAGAAAGCAATATACTTGAAAAGCAACCTTTTGGTATGTCCGTGTAAAAAAAGAAATAATTGACAAAAATGGTATGCATGCCAGTGTTTAAAGTGTGCAGCAATGCGGCATTGTATTCGGTTTCACGATCGAGGTACGGTACGCCGAGGAAAGAAGGCAGGCCGTTTAGTGCACGAGCACACCGTATGTCAAAGCAATTCATTGACCTTTATTTAACCAAGTAAGCGCCCACTGGGGATCACCTCTTTCGCAACATAAACGTAAAGCATGCTTATATGGGATCAATTTTTAAATATAGATATATGTTTTTTGGGCCGTGTTTACAAAAAAAAGTTTGGACTGTGGCTAAAATATCGGTGAATACTCTGAGGTTATAATGCATTGCAGTAAAGTATTGTAATTTTGTTTCACCATACACGTTGTACTTTATGTGATTCTTTGTGCAGCCCTTGGTGAATGTTAACACAGTACTACGTTTGGACGGTTTGGTAATCTTTTATGTTTGATCTGTATTCCACTTAGAAACTGTTCCAATTCAAATGTAGTCAATTGATGGTATCATCCCGTCACAAATAACTTCACGAAAAAAGTTGTTACCAGTGGATAGAAATGTATCTTATTATCTATGAAATTTGGGAGATGTGAGCAGTTGTGTGGTAAATTAGTTATATCTCTATATTTATCCATGATTGAGGAAAAGTCATCATATTGAGTGGATGATAGGTTAAGTATTCCTCTTATATACTTGCCTTGCTAGGGACTCTGCTAATCTACCAACAGCACCCAGCATGTTCCAGCAGAACATAGGCGTTTCACTTCGCAGTAATTCAAGCAATGTAAATGATGAGAAAATCCATGATAAGAGATAAATTAATGCAGGCCAGAAAATAAAGTTTTAACAACACACAAAAACGTGCACTGCGAGTACAAAGTTCTCAGCCTCGTGAATTTTGCAAAAGGCACCAATTCCTAAACAGAATATTTATTTATACTGGAGGAATCTGATGAGGTATGAAGTTATTTTCACAGATGTCTAGGTGGAGCAGGTCAGGACGTTACGACAACAAAGAATACAAAAACATGACAGGAGTAAAAAGGCAAAGAAAGGGAAAAACACATTACTTAAAATCTACACATAAAACTAAACTATGTTTTTTTTAAATAATGCCAGGTAAGGCCCACTGAGCTATTAGCTTATTTTATAGAAGCGACCTGACCACAAATAGCTCAACGAAGTGGCTTACCCTGTGAAAATGTATAGTTGCCAAATAATCTAAACCAATGGTTCTAAGCCGGGGATACTCAGACCCTTGGGGGTACGTGGCAATGTTCCAGGGGGTACATGAGGTGATTTATAAATGTGTGAAATTATATCGTAGATGATCCATAATATCGTTTTTTATGATATTGATTTTTTTATTCGTTTGCAGTTATTTAGCTAGTTCAGGGATATATCACAATTGTTTAAAATGTTGACGTTCACTTTTTGACTTAAAACTTTCGTGACTACAGGAATTCATATTCTTTGGTTCTTTTGGTAAAGTCACGTAAATAAAATTAAAAAATAATAAAAATAAAGTGAATACAAATATCACGACGTTTCGATCGCAACACAAGCGGTCGTCTTCAGGAATAGGGGTTATCCTCTAAAGGCAAACTGTTTATAAAGCTTCAAATCCAGATTGTTTATAAAGGTTTCGAGATGGGCGTAGCCCAAGTGTATCAGAGTTAGACTGATGGCCTTAATCTAAGCTGTCTTGTGGTTGTTGTTGTTTGACTTGCATCCCACTGAGATGTTTGCACACAGCGTTGGTGTACGGTGTTTTTTCTGCAATATTTTTGCTGTCTTTTCTTGGATTTTCTGTTTGCACTTAGTCACATATTCACTTTAAGATGTTTTTGGTTCATGTTTTTGTTTTTTGTTTGTTGCGGTTGCACCCGATTCAAGAGCTTAATGGCTCACAGGGCTATACCTAATAAATGAACTTGAACTTGAATCAGCAGCAAGAAATTACTACACACCACTCCACACTGCTGACGGTGGAGGTTGATTGACAAGAAAACACAAGTCAAGTCATGACCCAAAGTGGTTGATGACATCTTTCCAATGATTGCCGATTCTAAAACCTTCCTCTCGGTTGAAATTGCGTTGTTGCTGCATTGGCATTGCTGCTGCATTGGCATTGCTGTCCCGCTCATGTTGATGGTGCTGCTAATACGCTTGGGCTACGCCCATCTCCAAACCTTTATAAACAGTTTGCCTTTAGAGGATAACCCCTTTTCCTGATGACGACCGCTTGTGGTGCGATCGAAACGTCGTGATATTTTTATTCACTTTATTTTTTATCATGTTTTCTCTCTATCTACGTGATTTTACCGAAAGAACCAAAGAATATTGACGTTCACTATTCACACATTTCTCAGAACCACGTTGGGTCAGCCAAGTGGGGGTATAACTCAAAAAATGTTGAGAAATAACTGGCTCCAAACCGCCCCGGCTCAACGGGCCAACCACCACTATTTGTGTTTTCCATCATCGGGCTCAGGCTCCAATAACGCCATCAAAAGATCAACCCCAACGGTTTGAATTTAAACAGGAGCGAAGCCCCCAACGCGAGTGGCTGACCGTGGGGCCAATGAGCTGCCAGGGGGGGGGGGCGAGCACGCGCCACACCCCCCAGACCCCCACCCGCGTGTGCTGTTGTTGTCGTCGTCGTCGTCGCGTGCGCGAGCGTTGCACCCCTCCCCCCACCCCTTCCCCAACGTTTGAATTCACGCGCGCGTCGCATCACTCGCGCATGCGCACTGCGCGCCCCGGCTCGGCCTTGGCGGGGGATTCGGAATCTGCGGCTCACGGGGAAGGAAGAAAGAAACAAAACATCAAAACTACAGCGGTGGAGAGAGCATGGCACTCGGCGCCCTCCTCAACGCCTTCCAGGCGCTGAAGGTGGAGAGCGTCAGCAGCGGTGAGAGGGGCAGGGCGGAGGGAGGGACGATGCCGCGGGCCCACAAGCGTTCGGCGCTCCGGTTTGGCGGGAGCTGGTTTTATTTAGGCGAGCGCAAGGATGCATTGGCGGTCAATGGGGATTCGACTAGGCCCCCGAATTAGGCCTCCGGCCAACGGATTTGTAATTGCGCCTTAAATTGCCTCGCTCTGAGTGACTCGCGACACGAAGGGAATTGTTTAACTGGCCAGCTGGGTTCATTGAACTTCGGTTCATTGTTGGGGTGTTCGCGAAGGATGTTCCTGGAGGGGTGGGTAGGGGGGGGGTCTTTCTCACTTGCCTCTCGTGTCTGTCTTTGTGCTTCTCTTGCTGTCTCTGTGTGCGTTTCTTTGCACGTGTATCGCGTGTCTTGTCTTTTGTGGCCGTCACATTTTTGTCTGTCGATATCCGTGTCGCTGTGCACATTGCCTTACCACAAGCACCCTGGTTATGTACGTTGAACTTCTTTCGCACCGTACGTGGCCAACCGTGCTAATTGGAGGTGCGTGCCGACGACATCACGGCGGATGATGTAAATTACAATTGTAATTGTGTTATTCCTAATTAATTGCAATCACAATTCAATCGTTATGCCGTCTAACAGTGCTGCTGTAATTGCCATTACCGTTGTTGACATTTACCTGTCTCAGGATATTTATTTTAATTTCGCTTTGTGTATCGCCATGTGTCTTGTGTATCCATTTCTATTCCTGTCTGTCTTCATGTTTCTCGTTGTAGCTCATGTCTCTGCTATGTCTCTTGGGCTCCGACTCCCCTCTCCCAACTTTACTTAGTATTGGTAGTATTGGCATTGCTGTGTCCATGCAATGCACACCGTTTTGGGGGCTACAATTGCACACGTCTGTGTTGTCTCCTCGAGTTGCCTTGAATTCTGCCAAGTTTGGGTTAACGTGTTTAGTGACGATACTATATGGTACTCGCGGTCATTCACACACTTGAGGGTGATGATGCAACCATGAAGATCTTTTAAACAGAAACGAAAAGCGTCCAATAACTGAAAATGCCTCAAGCGGTTTGTACAGTATATGCAGCACACAAGTCTACCAAATGCTGGCCCTACCGATAACTAATCATGAATATCCAACTAGCTATTTTCTCACTGACCATAACCTACCCTTATCCCACATTCTTAGCCTGTGCGTTATCGTCTTCTATCGCTTTTGAGTTTTATGTTGGCTGTGCCTCTTGGCAATTCACAGTAAAAATCAATGCAATGAATTTTTGTTCTTTTTATTCTTGCACAACTTCCAGAATGGGCAGACGAAGTATGGGAGCAAGACTTCACGGATACAGTGCCACTGGAGGGCTGGCTGGAAGAGGAGGTTTTGGCCAGGGGTGTTGATGCATTTGACCAGTTGCATCTGCGCTTGGAGAATGTGGCACATGCACAGGAGGGTGCTGAGGTAATAACAAATGCTTAATACCAAGTACAAAGTTGTTTTAAATTGTCAGATTTATTGATAGTGATGTTCCTGTGAACTTACGACCAGATTACTCGGAATAGGTGCCCATATCATTGGATAACTGAAGCAAAACGGATAGTGCTTGGATGGGTGACAATGTATAATGATGAGTGTTGTGGGGCTACGTGGTTGGGGGTAGTGGGCAGTGCAGCTAAATCCATTATGGAATTGTACTTCTCTGCTGCTCTCACATTTGGTCTCGCGAACTTAAATCTGCACTGACCAACATGGTAAAATATCCCTCACCACCTATGTGGTGTCAGAAGGCCCGATTCCAGCAGTTGATTTAAATAAGGGATCCATGTTTCTGTGAATGAGTTTGTTTTATTACTTTGTGGTGGTCTAGCGGCAGTTGTTTACAAGCTAATCTTTGAACTTGGCAATGTTAGTTTGATTTCTAGCCACGTCTAACATCAGTGTCGGATTGCTTCTGAACTGGTCCTAACCCCCTCGCCAAACCACACTGACCAGTGTTGTAAAGTGTGGTCAAACAACTCTCTGTGGCAGGCATGGGGAGGCCTACATCCAGCAGTGGCTTGACAAGCATTTTTGAATCGTATATATATTTTTACATTGTAATTATATTATGATTGTAATCATTTGGTTATACGGTTTCCCCCCTGCTGCAGTATACCTGCCTGTGTCAATGATAGGAATACTTTTAGTAGGAAAGACACAAATGATCAGTAAAAATGTTGTATAATCTCTTGTATGTTTACTGATTGGAGTATACAGTATACTTATGTGACCTGTGGTTATTTTCTTTTTTTCAGAGTATTTGGAGCTTCCTTTATGAGAAGCGTATTTCTCATCAAAACCTGATCGCCATACTTCATCACTTTGTAAACAGTGGCCAGAAGCAGACCTCTTCGTTCCAGCAGCGCATACTCGCTATGAAGGCTGCATGTCTTTACTTTCTCCTGCTGGAGATCCCTGGTAAATCCCACTGGGGTTGTTAGCATTGTGGTTGGCATGTTACTGAATTTTCGTATGTAAAATGTACGACTTTATTTTATTAAGACTTTATTAAGGGCAGTTCTACAATTGATTGTTGATGAAATACAATTGGTACTACCTGCTGAATTGTTTTCTTAAAGCATATTTGTTAGTGCAGCGTTAAAACATTTGAGGCTGTAGATTTTACGCTTTGTATTTGAAATGACAGCATCTCCCGTATTGGTTTGTGTTCACAGGCAGCATAGCACACAAGGTCTTTCATCCGGTGCTTTTTGACAAATGTGTGGCTGTGGCTCAAAAAGTCCTCCCACAGACATCACATGGTAAACGGAAACTAAAAAGTGCACCACTCAAGGGCAGTCAAGCAGCCACAGGGAGAGGGCGCAAGGCCAAGCTGCCACGCTTGGAGGAGGAGGTAAGAGTTTACATGCCTGGCACCCGCTGTGCCTGTCAACTGAAACATGCTTACGTTTATTGTTTATTGATTTGTTTTATGCTAGTTTTTACAACATGCTTTGCTGCACAGTAAATGGGTAAGGGCAATGCATTTTACAGAATTTATTTGCAGTTTGTCTTCAACGAAGACATCGTGAATATTTCAGAAGAATGACAAATGAACGAATTTGATATAACAAAAAGTTTTGTGGATGTTTTATTAAATTTGCCTAACTACTTTATCAGGGGAAATCAGTGCATACATTGGCTTAGTACAAACGTATTGAATGGATTTATTTGGGTAGTTTTGTAATTATATATTTTCCCGACATACTTATCAAAATTTTGAAATAATTGAAATTAAATTGGCAAAGAATAAATGCAAGGTTATTTACTTTCCAGTTCATAGGTTTTAATCAACATTGAAGCACATCCAAATTTTGACTTTCATTATTTAGTGCATATTATAATATATTATCACCATTTCATGCAGCTTTGACAGCATTTATAAATTGAATTTGCCTTTTCCATTTGCGGAGAGAACTTTATTTTATTGAGTTTTGGAAAAAAAAAAGTGGTTTTTATTTCAGCCCACTGGTGGTTTGGAATAGCATTTAGGAGATGATATGATATTAGATTTGTTATAGTGGAGCAAACAAAGCTGTACAAAAGAGGCAAAAAACAATGCAAACGAGGCAGTTCTTAAATGGAATAACCACTCCAAATCTTGATTATTCTATGAATGACTGGCGGGTGAGGGTTAACCATTACATGCCAACTAAAGATTGATCGCTATAGGTGCACGATGCGTTGGAGAATGAGGACGATGATGAGGAGGCCGAGGAAGTGGCACTCACAGGACAGAATGTTGAGCGGCTGCATGATGTGGCGTGCTTGCTGCTGAAAACCCTGCATTGCCTGCTCTCCGTGTTCTCGCTTAAAGAGAACCCGCAGTGCATCAGACATTGCATCCAGGTGCGTGCTCGCCCGCCCATGTAACCGACCCGTCGAGCAGCCCCTTGGGGTTTGTATGCATGTGGATTTAATATGAATGTGATTGATTGGAGCTTTTTTCTTGCCTAAAGAGTTTTTGTCGTGCAATGTACGTGCGTCGATTTCGTAGTGCATATTAAAACTGACCATTTACGGCATGTATAGCAGCAGTGCATATATTATTTGAATCCACATTTGTTTTATTAGTCGCACAAGCATACTTAAATTAATGATAATTACAATAAGGTTGAATGTGCCAAATGGATATTTTTGACATTGTTTTTTTTACAGTTACAATACACCATGTTTGTGCTGTTGACATTGATTCTCTCGTTCAAGGCTTTTGATAGCTTTCAAGTGTAGAAGTGATGATGAATAGTTTTGTGCCGCAGGTCCTTGTGGAGCTAACCAAACAAAACAGCCACTCTCAGAAAATGGACTTCCCACTAAATGTGTAAGTGTTATCTTCAATTTTATGGGTCACATATTTATTTTATGTTTAATCCAATGATACAGTTTTTGTTAAAAAATAAATTCTCCTTTTTTTAGAAGCACAAGCCAGGCCCACTCACTTGCAGAGCTCGCGTATTGCAACCTGAAAGTACTCTGCACTACCTCCCATGGCTCCAAAGATGAGGTACACTTGCGATACCAATGTGTACTGACACATCTTGTTAGAATTGCAGTATCTAAATATGTATTTTAGTGGACTATCTGTTATTTCCACAAATTGTTTGACCATCCAGTCTTTGAATTACTTTGGTGTTTCCTTAGGTTCTACGAAATGTTTTTCATCGGCTGTTAAACCACATCCTCATGGTGGGCGGAGAAGCACGTGCAAATCTGGTGCTGGCTTTTATTCCACAGTATGCAGTCAACTTGAGAAACCAAACACTAAAGTTTGTGTGGTATGGATACCAATAATAGAATTGCACTCATTACAAAATGCATTGCTTATCAGCGATCATTACATTGTACTTGAGTCTTTAGAGTAATAACCCTTTCTCAGAAATTTCTTGCATTTATATGGTCAACTCACAAAATTGTGTGTTCAAAATGAACAACGATGTACATGTATGTGTTTGCAGTCATTTGGTCAAAGAAGATGGTGAAAAGTGTATTCCACTCCTCCGGATCCTTCTACAGCACATTTGTGTTAAGGTATTGTACCTCTTATATTTTAATTGTAAAAGAAAATATGCTTATTGTAACTTTTTCACATCATACATGGTGCTGCTGTTATCTGCTGTCAGGTCCCAGACAAAGCAGATTACCGGGGTCATGCAGCACAAGCGGTGTGCAAGCTATTGGACTGCATGAGCAACTCAGCTTATGCGGAATTCATTGAGTGGCTCTACAAATACTCGCAGAATGCCAAGGTGATAACTGAAAGGATACATTTAGCTTTCACGGTGTCAGCAATGTAATTTCGTGACCATGTTCAAATTGTAATAATCATGCTACATTTGACTGTTGTAAATGAAGAGTTATTAAAACTTGACAGTCTAATAATGGTTATTTTCAGAATGTGTGAGCAGCTAAAAGTAGGAATAATGTTCCAGAGTATTACAAGTATTTTTGCAAATTGGAAATGTGGATATTAAAACAAACACTTCGACAAAATTCTGTTGTTCATTAGTAGCTTATTACCCTCTGACCTTACTAGGGCTATAGATCGGGCTATATCAAGTGCCCTATACAGGATAAACATATCACCGTGGTGGCAGGACATGAGAAGAATACCCTAGGAGCTTACTAATTAATCCAGGTATGTGCATTTGTAAATGGCATACCTGAACAGATGTGAAAAATAGCATATCTGCTGTTTGCCTTGTGCAGGTGGGCTACCGCGTGTTTGCACTGGATGTCATTTTGGAGCTTCTGGATTACCCAGAGCGAGAGGCGGACAGTACCGTGTCTACTGGGCGCCTCAGGTTTTTTTCACACAAGTTCCTGGTGCATAGTACTGTGGTGTGTCGCTGCTGCGACCGCATGTCCACTGTGCGTGCCAAGGCCCTGTCTGCCCTAGCCAAGAGCCTGAATCAGCATGGCAGCGCCGCTATGGAGTGTGTGCACGAGATCGTGCAGGGAGGTGAGCATTGTTGAGAGTGTACTGCATCCTATGATAGTCAAAAGTACAAGGCTTGAGATTGGCATTGTTAATTTCTGTTGAAATACTGAATGAAATATATAACTTTTAGTTGTGAAATGTCATTCACAAAAATATTTCATTAGTGGATTGTCATGAAAAAGAATTTACTAAATACCTTGCTCGTCCATTCATAGCCAAATTAAATTCCAAAGTCGCAATATTGTCTTACCTAATGACAGTGCCAGTGGGGGGGGGGGTGGGGTGGCACATGCCCTAATTTCGATCGGAACAAAAATTCGATCGGATCATTGGGGTTTATTAGTAATAAATCGGCATTTTGCAACCCCCACTGCTGCCACTGTAGCATATTACGTACCAGGGACTCTATGAGATGATAGGACAATAGTCTGAGTTCATAATTGGCAATAAGTAACGGCAAAGCCGTTATAAGTGACTCGCAGAATTGTGCGCAGTTGCATATACAGCACACGACTTCCCTGAAGGCATTCACCTCCAGCGAGCGCGATGCCGATCACACGGTTCGAATTCGACCCTCGATCGATGGCTGCGCCATCGCTGCACACGCGTCGAATAAAAAGCAAGGGACAAGTCCTTACTAACAACTCCTCTATCATTTTTCATTGCTGGAGGGGTTGCCCCCCCCGTCCTAAAAATCTTGGCTCCGCCATTGGTCTTACCACAATTTGTGAAATATTTTTTTTCCCCAGCTGTAAAGGGTGTCTGTCTCTGCTCTTCATAAATTGGTGACCTTTAATAATAATGTTTCAGAATTAGATTGTTTATGAAAACTTTTCTGAATGCCATACATGTTGCAGATAAGTTACTACTTTTGATAAATAATGCAGAATATATAGATTGGTTGATAAAATATTATCACTGAGAGGAAAGTGATTGTGTCGGCCAACTAACTGCCTAAATTAGGAAGTATTGAGGTTTATAGAATATTCAGTATACATTATTGTAGAGCGTAGGTGGAGGTGGGGTGAGTGTCAGATTGTAAATAATGGACTTGCTGAGGTGCAATGAGTTAACAGCACATGACGAGATTCCATTTCAGAAGTAAATATGCAGATTGCCTTTGATATACAAGTTTTTTTCCCAGGATCTGAATATTATATTCATGGAAAGCCCCTGTTTGACATGACCCTTTGGAGTCTTGTTAATACTCCCACCGAGGCAGAGGGGAGACTCATTTTGACACAGCTGACATCCATAATGGCCCCATTGACACATGCAGGAATGCATGATAAACATTGTACAGTTCTTTTTTTTTCAAAGGGCCTATTCACAGTCCTATTAGGCTGTCGGCTAGCTCAGTACCTTCTGCCTCACGGAAAAAGGTTCTTGGTTTCATTACCAACCGGGGCCATCCTCTGTGGAGTTTGTACGTTCAGCATGAGTTTCCTCTGGTTTATTACCATAACTATAACAACCATAATGTAACTGGTATTGACCAAACATCCCAAATCTCGAAAATTACCTACAAATGACTCAATTGGGATTACACATGGCAATATCACCTGTACTGCAAAAAACTATGCACGGCTCATCTTAAAAAGAGTATTGTGGCTAGGTGAGACTTTCCTTGCGAGAAAAGTGTAAATCAATAAATAATTCACAACAACATGTTTAAGCCACCAACGCTTAGATCCCCTGATCTCTTTTTGCAAACTGAAAATTTCAATTCAGGAAGACAATCTAAACTTTGACTTCTGGAATTCATTCAAAAGTCTGAATCATTACACCTCAATGAGTCCATAATTTACACTCAAGCTGACGTCTTGCACCTTAAGACTTAAAACCTGCATTGCCGGAAGAAGGGCCAGTTGGCCAAAACTTATTTAATTTCTCTCAGGGATATTCAAATAATCGATTTTTTTTAATTTACCCATCTTGGACTGTGTATACATTTGAAAAATGTTTGGTTCTTGTTGATTTGACTTTATGTCTTGAGGACCCCATCGACTGACCTTACACACAACTACGTGTGCTGCGGGCATCAACGAAACCAACAACTCTCTTGGCACCGCAAGTTTGACTAACCCATCTATATGTGTTGAGCAAAGGAACAGCAAGAGTAAGTGTTACCTCTAAGCATAAAAAACACATTGCTACATGTATACACATAATAATAATGACTGTTGACCAATTGTACATTCAAAATAAGTCTTTAGAGTTTCTTGTTTTTATACAAGTTATTTTTAAATACATTTAAGATAAGGTATTGTTGGAATGTTAAGTTACATATTTTTTCATGTTTTTTCTCATGCTCAACAGCACGTACAATGGGAGCTTTAAAAACGATTGAAATCACAGACCTGGGCAATGAGACACTTCCATATGGTAAAGCTCACCTTTATATTTTTTACTGTTACTGCATTCTAATTTTTTATACAAATAGCAATTTGAGCAATATATTACATTATGTGGTTCCTTTATATTGCCATATACTCCCATCTCCCATAACCTTGCTCCTTTATAATTCCAGACCTGAGGTCCATTTTCTCACGGCTTGATTTCACCAATTATTGTTAAAGGCCACTACCTAATAAATTATTCCTCCATACTCAAACCACCTCCATTCTTATGTTTGCGTCTGCCCTTTTTATGATCTGTATTTAATCCCAAATTTTCTCCCCCTACAAACTGGAAATTATCCAGAAGACCTGTTTTTGACTTGACCTGTATATTAAACTTCATCACTGCAAATCTCAGAACCCTCCACTTGCTCCCATTCCAATACTGGCTCAATTTTAAGTTTGCCATTACCAATGTCCTCTGTTTAGACCAACTCCTGCCTACCTCCTCTACCTCATGTCACTTCTTTCTCCTCCCATTGCCCTCCTGCAGCAACCAAGTCCTGTCAACATTTCCAGTTCACTTTCTTTCAAAGAGAGTTAATTCCTGTTATTTTCAATCACCCCTATCGTCTTCAGATCCCTCCTGGCTTTCAGCAGATTGTTCCTCTCCGTTGGTTTAAGGCTTTTATTTTCCTCTGACTGACCATCTTCATCAATCCTAGTGTCTTTATTTCTACCTTTATGCACCCAAAGTATGTTTCTCCCTGAATTTCCCTTTCCATTACCTCCAATTTCACCTTAAAAATGAATAGCTCGCCCTTATGTCCAGTGATTTCATAATGTGCATGTCATTGTATACAGTATTTGATGTAGTTGCTCAATAATGCTTTGTAAATCTTACTATATTGTATTGTGCTATACTATAGGTCAAGAAGTTTTGTCCATGCTGAAGGAACGAACAGGAGATGAAAAACCCGGTGTCAGGAAATCAGCATTACAGGTGTTGCACAACGTGAATATTACAGATTACTTGTTCTTGTGATAAATAATAACCACCGTTGTAATAATCTTTTCAAGTTAATATTCAATAAGTAGCAGTATCATATTGTAAATCCATTACTGGAATTGTAATCTTTGTTATGAAAGAGTACTTTCTCAAAATGGAATTCTGTTACAGAAATGCATTGGTTGCTTGTTTTGTTTGTCTAAGTTTGCGATGCCACCAACAATAGGAGGGGTAGGTTAATAAACGAATTTTAAATATCTTTCCACACTTGCTAGGTGCTGGAGGGGATGTTGCAACACGGCATCTTGCCGTTGACGGATGTGGACCTGGCCTGCCTGGTGGAGCGATGTCATGATCCTGCACTCTCTGTCAGAAAGCAATCACTGCTTTCACTAACTAATCTCCTGAAGGTGTGTGCTCTCGGCATCATATTTAAACCCACGGGATAACCATGAAACAACCATCCTATTAATGAATCACAAGAATGCCGTGCTATTAAGTAACTTATTTGTTATGCCAATTCTAAAAGTTTACTTATTATGCTTTTGTTGGACAGTCAAAACTGAGGACATATGTTAGCAACACTAATGGAAAGCTTTCAACTTTGAATATGCTGTGCATAGAGGAAAGTTTATAAAGGTGATGATTTTTTTTTTACAATTGCTATATTGCTCATGTATTCTAATGTTCCACAATAACTACTTTACCATCGTAATTTCTTTGTGGCTTTGAACAGAGCCACCCAGAGAATGGAACGCTACTTCGCGCCTGGCTCAAGGGTCTACTGCCAGCTGTCATAGACCGGGAGACGTCTGTTCAGGAGAAAGTGCTGGAGTATGTCGATGAGGTTATTCTTAAGAACGTGAAAGAGAAGCAGACGGGCACTGGAGGCTCGAGCAACCACGACCCCTCCCACAAACGCGCGTGGGACATTCTTGACATGTTAGTCATTCCAGAGCATCAGGAATTGTGGTGAGTTGCATTTTTATCTAGAGAAGAAATGTACTTTCGGAGTAATGTCAGGAATATATTAATTACTGCTAGAACCTGTGTGTTTTGTGTTCATTAGCCTTTAAAAAGTAGCTTGTAAATAAAATAGGTGCTTGTAAATAGAATACATGTAAAAAAGTAGCTTATAAAGTATGTAGGATGGAATGTGGTGATTTATTTTTCCCTTTTGAGACCAGATTTTGAATATAACTATTTTATGACAATTTTAATGTTTGACCATCATGTCCGTGTATCTCACCACAGCTCGTACCTCGGGAAAGCTTGCCATATGCTGGCTGCCAAGAATCCCTTCAGTGCATCATTAATTAATGCACTACTCTCCCATGTGCAGTCAGAGCATGCCCCTGCTGCCTGGCTACTCTTGTCAAAGGTAGCCGGTCACTGCCCCAAGATTAACTGCACTAAAATATTAGCATGCTGGGACCAAGTACACAGGTGTGTGCCTTTTTGTCATTGCTTTCTGAATACACGATCTGTGGTGGTCTCTTCCCTTCTGTATGAATTAATATGAATGTAAATGTACTCCTTTTGCCTGAGCTCTTCACATTTGCCTTTCAGGAATTCTAATATAATGCCCAGTACCATGTGTCACATTCTGGCAGTGATTGGTACCATGGCGAAGAATATTTCTAATGACGGGTGCCATCAGCTCATAGGTAAAGTGGTATTGGTTTCACAACTCGGGTTTGCAGTGTATGTTCTTTTCCATGAAATATTAACCTCCAAAACTAAATTTTGTATGAGTAGTACAATTTGCAATTGTAAAAATTTCATTTTGACAGTTGTGTGAAATACGCTTACAAAATGAGCCGCCTATGGGTGATGTATTTTTTTATATTGTTTTTCTGCTGCAGAAAACCTCCTGGAAAGGTTACGATCATTTGATTGCCCACTAGAGGTGATCACTGCCTCTGTCTCCACCTTGGACCACCTTTGTAGAGCTCAACAGGAATCTCCGGAGAGCGCTATGGTACATAATGGCATTTGTATAGAACAGCTGTTCCATTATAATATTGATAATCATGGTGGGACTTGTACTCGTATTTTTAAGTGCAGTTTAGCACATCCAACAATGCACATTTAGAGGGTGTCTCAAGTTGGCAAAGGACTAGAAAATAGAGCAAATCTAGTTATTACATTTCCAGAATTTGCTGCTAATTTTTTGTCTTGGTTTCAAGATTGTTGTGACAGCGTTGCTTTTACCTTGTACGTGTGTAGAAACAGGTCAGCAAGTGGTGCAAGCAGCTCATCGAAGCCTGTGATGCTTACATTTCCAGAGTAGTGCTCACTGAGACCGGGAGGGTTGGCATGCACGAAGACAAGCTGGTGAGGACTGACAGTCAGTCGATAATCCCATCTTACCAAATGTCAGGTTTCAAGTACAAACATAACTTACTGCCCACTGTAAGACATGATTATATAACTGCGTTCTCAAATCCCATTGAAACTAGTGCACGGTGCATATATAACTGCATTTGTCTTGGGTCTATTGTGTATGTTGGAAAGAAATTGGACTACATGTAGAGATTCTGAAGACTCATAAGGCAAATTGCAAAGGCTTTCAAATATTGCAATTGTACATGCACATTCATATGTATATGCAAGCATAATGCAAGGTCTGGGTAGCAATGTTTTTGTCATTGGATAATGAAATTAAAGATAATTCATATAACTGACATCAAAATATAATGTAATAACAGTAAATAACAATATACAGCCCTTTGTCAATCCACTACTGGATGAAGGCCTGCCCAGACTTCTTCGTCAATTGGGCTGTTATCTCTTCACAATGATCATCACAGGTTGCCCCTGATGATATAGCCGTAACTGGGAGTTGAACTCGGGTTACTGAGATCATAGGCCAGTGCGCTAACCACTACATACCACTGCTTTCCCAAAATATATAACTTTCCTCATTTATTAGACCCTTAATTTTCGTTTTACACTGACGAATGGGAATTGGATACTATCTGCTGTCTTGGTTTTGGTTTAGTTTTTATTACATTCTTGTAATAAAAACTCAACCTTGTATTGGTAAAGGGGTGGTAGCATGCTTGCATGTGTCCTGTGGGGTGCTCTCACTTTTTGTGTTCATGTGATACTAAGTTAACCTTGTAGTCTTTGCCCTTTGGTAATAAACATAAATAAATGATGTGCTATCAACGTTTTTTTACAGTGCTTTCTCGCAAAATAGCACACTTTGCCAGTGTTATTGAGGTGTACTTGAAAGTTACTGTACTATATTGGATCTTAAGGTCGATCTGGAGGTCAGTGGGAAAAACAACAACAACCCTATGATTTATTTTGTGAAAAAAGCAGTTTGAGCCACAGATGTAACCTATTAAAAAAACATCTTTCTCTGATGTGATTTATGACGGGACAGGAAAGAAAATCCAATGATGGTAGTAAAGTGGACGTTTACTCCTGGTCTACCGATGTGTACATGTATTTAACAAAAAATCACAATGGCTTTTATTCCAGTTTTGCCTCTAGATCGATGCCAAATATGCTGTTAACCAACCAGTAAAATTGGGCTTTGTTTATAGATGGAAGTAACTCATTCATAACTACATTTTCTGGCCCTTTTGATTACATAATACGCACACTTATTAAAATAGTTTAAATTCATAATGAAATTAGTTCTGATAATTGACGATTTGTCATGCTCATCATTTAATGGAACATTTTTATTTTTGTTTAAACTTGTGTAAAATGTTAGAAGCTGAAGAGTGGGCATTAGTGATCATTTGCTTTTATCATTCAATACCTTTTTAATATGGCATTGGGTTTACTTGATTGGCCTAACAATTGGTTGCACTAGTGCAGTAGACATAAAAATGGCAATTCCTAGGACAAGCGCTGCTGGCTTAGATTTGTGACTGATTGACGGTAATGGTGTTGTGCCCTTCACAGGTCCGCTATGTGTTCACACTCGGTGAAGTGGCCCAACTGTCCCCAAGCAACATCAACAAGCGCATCTTCCTCCTTGTGCAGTCTCTCCTGGCCTCCCCGAACCTTGAACAAGGTTCCGAATAAATCCGCACCATCCTATTTTGAAAACATTTGCCAGAGGTGATTAAACGTGTTGTGCAAAAGCGTCCGCTGCGTAGGTCGTGACAACGGTGAATCCTTGTGTGCTGTTACAGGAGAGACGCCAGGGGAGTCCGAGGAAACGGCCGTCCCAAGCAGCCAGCCAATTCTGTTATCTCAGCCACTAGCACACTTCCATGGCTCCAGCATGCCTACCATTATACGAGCGCATGCCTTCATCACTCTGGGTGAGGGAAAACTCTGATCCTTTCGAATAGACCAACATTTTTGCGGTGCTTGATGAACCATATTATTCTAATCTTGATATGTATATTGTCTGATGCTGGTTATATATGAAGTTTAGGCTACAATATTTGGTGATTACTTGTTGCAGCGGCCTGTTTGACTGCTAACAATTTGTTTTCGCACACCGTTCCATTTAAACTGGAATTTCTTAAACTTCTCTGTCACCTGGATTACGATACACAGGTTGTATGTACCATACCTGAAGGAAAATTATATTCACTGAACAAAATCATAGCTTCTTTTAGAACAAGCTGTTCTTGTGAAATTATGTTGTTGATTTCCTTTGTTCATGTAATCCATGTGTGTTGTGAAGGATATTTAATAGGCAAAGTATGCTCAATAGCGATAATGAGCAGCATACTTATTGTTATGTAATTTATAATTGTGTAGCACATAGCTAGTGAATATTTATTTAAAAACCTTACGTTAAACATTAAGGAGACCACCAAAATATATATGCTTAATAAGGGTGTCCTTTTGCCATTCACATATGATAATCCAGCAGCATTTGTTTGACAAGTCAACCCAGTCTGATTACTTTAACAATTACTAGATTCTAAGCTTTCGTGACTGCAGGAATTACTCTTTGGTTCTTTCGGTAAAGTCACATGACTTTACAGAATATTGGTCTTCGAAAACCAATAGGCTGATGGACTAAATTATATATTTATATGTGGGTACGCAGAATGGGAGTTATGGTTATATTTATTATAACTAATAATGCTCCACAGCCATGCAAAATTAGTTTGTGTACCCCAACATATAGATGTGAAACTTGTCAATAATTACACAAATCCTAGACTGTTTGATGAGGTTACAATCCAGTTGCTAGATGTGTTTTTGCAGATTTTGACCTTGAAAGAGGCAGCAGATATGTTTGCTCTGGCTCCGCTTGAATTTAAATCCTCTACTTACCATCGTTGAGATAATTAATGTCTATATATACACTTTTGCTGTATGCGCATTTAGGGAAATTGTGTTTGCAGAATGAAGACTTGGCCAAAAAGTGTATCCCAGCCCTGGCCCGAGAGCTGGAGATATCATCAGAGATATCCATCCGTAACAACGTAATCATCATCATGTGCGACCTGTGCATCCGCTACACCACGCTGGTAGACCGCTACATCTCCAAGATCTCGGCGTGTTTACGGGACAAGGAGCCTTTCATCCGCCGACAAACGCTCATCCTTTTAACCAACCTGTTGCAGGTGCTGACCCCCCCCTCCCCAAACCTTTAAAGGCACATTTAATGTTATCTGTCAACTTTTATTGTCTTATACAATTTGTCGTCAAACGCCCGTCGTTAACAACTGCTTCCAGTGTAAACGCACTGACGAAGCCCGTTGCTAACTGTTGTCTTGAATAATTAATGAGTGAAAGAGGAAAAAAAACATTTGATAGATGATAGGTGCTATGTAAATAAAGAACAGTATATAGTCGCCGATTGTAAATTAGAGTTTAATGTGCATTATTGGCTCGGGCTACGCAGGCTCCTTTTAATTATTCAGGTATGCTGTTAGTCTGAGTTGTACTTGTTTTTTCGTGAGAAAAATCGCTTACAAAGTACATTTATTTGCTTTTAGGGTTCTGTTTTTACATGTGGAATTATAACCCTTATGGAGAACAACATGTATTTGAAAAATAATCGCCATGCAAATTGGATCATTGGGTTGATTTTGTCCAATTTGTCTGTTGAAGTGCTTTTCATTTTAAGCTGTTTTTGATAAGCATCCTAGTTCATTTCTGACAAAGCAAGCAGTTGCTAAGACACGTACCATATAATGCCAGATCCTTTGTACAGCACATAGTACACGAGAAACTATGCACCTCAGATTTTGCACGTCAAGTTTCTTGTTCATTCGTGCACTGCTTTGTCCTTGTGCCCAGGAGGATTACGTGAAGTGGAGAGGGTTTCTTTTCCACCGGTTTGCCAGCGTGCTCGTGGATAGTGATCCTGGAATCCGGAGGTATTATGGAATGCATCATTGAAGATGTATTGTACGAGGGGGAAATATGCATACCCAACCAGTGAAAAAATAAATATTTAAACTTTTGACCAAATACTAATCAATACGATGACGACCTGATTTTAAATCTAACAGTGATCTAATGTTTTTTTAAATCAAACTAAAATTATAACAAAATTTTCAGTTCATTGAGAAGGTTTAACCAACATTTATTAGTGTATATTGTACAAATTATTGAATTGTATTTTCAATACAATTTCATTAATGTAAAGCTTTAGCTTGGTACAGTGGTGAAATCAAGCATAAGGTCTAAATGTTTAAATATTAAACATTTTTACAGCGATCTGCCTTGGCAATTAACAGTGTTGGATATTAGCAAGTCACCAAATGTCTCGATGACATTTTACTACAGAGCGTTAAATGATAGTGTACGAACCATTCGCGGTCAAGGTATATAGTGAAAGCCAGTGGAAGAGTGTTGGCCGAGAAAACCCGCTTGCTTTACTAATGAGGATGTCATTGCTTGGGGAAATAAAGTAATTGTGTTGTGTGCAGAGCAGCCCCAGAATACATTAATGTTTAATATGTTTGGATTAAACCTGGGCGCCTGTGTCTGATACTATAAAGCGTGTGGCTTGGTGAGTACTATATAATGTTGTAACCGCTATAATTTGTAATTGCAATCAATGTGGAATTCATCAACTCAACATACCAGCAAAATAGCAAAGAGTTTACATAATTGATTTTTATATTTCTTTGATTAGATTCTGAATGCAGAGAACAAAAACTAAACCGCATGTATAATGTATTCTCAATGCAGCAGGTGTGTGTTAACATAAATATTAGGTTGGCTAATGCACTTCTTTCTTGATTTGAATACACTTATTTAATGTTGAATTGTTGATGTGGTTCTATTAAAAAATAAAGTGTTTTATTATAGCTAAGAGAGTAAAATGCACTGGTACTGTTGATAAACAAGGCCAGCATTTTGGTTTACCTGATTCACCGTTTGTGAAATGGAATGCCTGGCAGCGGAGAGATTCCCGATGGACTTTCGTTTTTGCCAGGTGTTTTGAAAGGCACTTCACACGCAACTCTCTTTTGTTTAGCTTTGCAGAGTTTTGTCTGATCAATTTGCTGCTGAAGAAACATCCTGGAATAATTTTCCAACATTTTATCGAGTGCATCTTCCACTTCAACTGCTATGAGAAGCACGAGAAATACCAATTCAGCCAGACAGAACGGTAACACCCTTAATCTGTGCAATGCACATTTGTTCATCTTTATAGATAAAGATAAACATGCCTAATGTAATTTAAAATCCTCCGTGGCTTGCCTTAATTGTGTAATCACTGCTTTATGCACTATGAAATAGATTTTTTAAATATATAATTTGAAGATAATATTGTAAAAAAGTGAATTGCCCAAGTGAATTGCCCATTTTTTCAATTGACCTTGAGACGATATGAAGTAAAAAAAATTGAGATAGTGTTAAAGGGAAATTAATGTTAAGGTTGAGTGGGAAGCTGCCACTGATTTTCAAGGTAATGGTGCTTTTTAACTCTTAATTCTTATTGTGATGCTGTAATGTACACGGTGCAATATATAGCCCTGTTTTAACTCTATTGTACTGTTAGAAAACCATCTTGTGTATTGTTTAATTACTGCACCTCAACTTAACGTGCCAATTGTTTTAAGTCCACCTCAGTTATCACGAGTCACATCGTATTCATTTTTCTCAAAATGTCAAATGTGACACCGCTGTGTGGTTGTGATGTATAACGATTGACCAGTTTTGGTCAAATCAAGTTAAAGATGTTGTATTTTGATGCTAATGTGGCTAGAAAATTCTAAATATTAATTGCAGAGCTAAACCGCTTATTTGTTTAAGAGGTGGAATAAAGTTCAAATAATTTCATGTCATTACAGTGTTATGAATAATCACAATTGTGAATTTTTTACAGTGGTTTAATTTAATGTATTTGCAAGACAGATTCAAATGCTCATCTACTCTGTTGAGCTTGTATACACTTCTGATAATTTGCCGTCAAAGCATACGCACATTTTTTTCGTAACAGGGAGAAGCACCTGTTCTCACTGAAAGGCTCGCACAACAAGAGCAAGAGGATGACCATCTATCGCCTATTGCTGGAGCACTTGACGGACGAGCAGCGCTTCAATCTGAGCACCAAGCTCGCTCAGAACATTCTCGGTGTGTGTGGGGTCGTGAGTGGCATCCTCATTACTTCAAGAAAGTCACGTGTTTTTTTTCCCCATGTGCATTTTTATGATTTGATCCCATCTTTCTGACTAGCTACAATAACACACTGTTTAAAGTAACATTTTTATAAGGTAAATGTACTCCATTTAGCATGTTTTTTTTTCAAAGTGAAGGAAATTGCATAAATTATCAATTCAGTGCACCCTTGTCAGCTTAAGTAGATTTGGTGTATGTTATGTGGCACGGTAATTGTGTATTTATAATTGTTTTAGCAATGGGGTTTTCGTAAATGTGCTATGTTGGACTGATTCTGTATTGCATATATTCACACAGCAGGCATATCTAGGCATTGAAGAAAGTGATTTTAAGCATGCATATCCCTGTTTAACACGTAGGGTTTAGCGACCAATATCCATAATACAGCTTTTTTGAGTTTGATCACTTAAATATAAAAATGTGTCGTTAAACTCGTGCTGTGGCTTTTCTCTCCAACACACCGGTGTGCTGTACCAGTAACGAATTAGCATGTTCTGTTTACGTGACAAACCTTGCTAATTGGCTGTTGGGTGGTGGTGGTGAGTTTAACGACATATTTGTGCGATCTAACCCAAAAAAACCTGTATTATGGATGAATATCCCTGCTTTGGGCAATGAGGCATACAAAGTGATAATGTTAATGCTGGCTGCATTTTCATTGTTATTGTGTATAATTTTCGGCTGATGGTTTGGATATTGTATCGTGCAATTTAACATTTACATGGATGGGGGCGACATTAAGTGGTGAACTGTATTGTGTTGCCACTTAAAAGTAGTACACCTGCAGCCATTCATGCAAGTGTGATGTTGGGCTCATGTTTGTTTGGACACTTGCAGTTGTCAAGGTCACAATTGCAAGTGAAGCAACACTAACATGTGTAACATGCTCATTTCTCAAAAGGGGGGTGGAGGGGGGTAGTCAGTAACAAATTCTACATTGCCAAAGATAAATATTCTTGCATGCACGTTATGTGGATTGCACTGCATTTGAAATGTCCGAGTAAATCACGTGCATTGCGGCATTGTTAATTTGGAGATCATTTTCGTACAAAGTCTATCGTTTTATTGGAAAGGTCTGGAACATATTGCCCGTTTACTTATAAACAGAATATTGATGGACTTGCATTTCTAGTGGTACACAAACAAGAATAAACCAAACACACTAGGTTTGTTATTTACCCTGCCTTATAACAAATAAAAAAGATGTAGTCGGCTGACATTGGCACTGGTACTTGAGAGCAGCGAGAAAATGGATGCGTATTTACGCTCTTGTTGAAAATTGCCCTTTACTCTTGGGGCCCTGAAGAAACTAGAAAGTTTTAAGAGAGTTCGCAAATGCGCATGTCTGACATGAGCAGTGTTATTTATCTTCGTAGACACCGAGTTTTCATGTTCTACTCCGCTTTGTCACCGGCCCGAGTGACCAGAGGCATCTTTTGTACACCGAAGCTGTGTTGGTTGATGAGGGCAATAATGTGTGTACGTGTTGTGCCTTCGTCCCTGCCCTTTCAGGGAGCTTTGTGGATGGCATGCTGGCGCTGGATATGGAGGCAGCCGACCTCCTATCGGACATTTTTTCCGTGCTCTGCTGCAAGGAGATTAAACTGGTGGTGTCTCGCGCACGGCCAGCGGACGAAGAGCTGCCCGAAGACGGAGAGATGGCAATGGCCAATGCCGTCATGCAGGTTGCCCAGAAGAAGCTCATCTCGCAGGTAGAACCCGCTGCTTGATGGTACATTTTTCAGTCGAACGGGACATGTGGCCACATCGTGTAACTTTTTAATGGAACATCTGTTGTGGCATAATGAAAATAAAAGGACGTGAATCTTCCGTTAGAACCAAAAATATGTTGTACAGTTTTGTGACGCAATGTGAGTAAGTGCTAGATTGTTGTATCAAAAACGATAGAGTTTTTAGTATGGATTCCGATATTGCTGTTAGTCAAGGCGAGTAATAGAACTCGGGCCGCTGGGTTGATAGCAGTGTGCCTAACGACTGCACTACCGCTCCACTCCACTATTAATAAAAACACTGAGGTTTAAAATGATTGGGAGTGTTATGGAAAGTGCCTTTGCCTTTATTTAAAAGTTGCATCTGTGTGTGTATTCTCAAGGTGCAAAAGAAAAACTTCGTCGAGAACATCATTCCAATCGTGATCATGCTGAAGAAGCAGATGGAGACGAAGAGATTGCCAGTGCTCAAGGACCTCATGCAGTATCTCCGGGTCGGTTTCCCACACCGTCAGCTGAATCTCAGTGTTGTCAATGTACCTCTCATCGTAATGGAACTGTGTCCCAGTGTTTAGGGTACACTTTTGATAAATCGCTGCAAATCGGGGTCACAATTAGTTTTGAGAATCTGTTTTTTTTTTTACTCCTCCTCCACTGTGAATGGTGGCTGCAGGGGTGACACTTAACATTACATTTAAACATGCAAATAAAAATATATTTAATTTTGCACTTGTGATTTTATGCATGTATCGTTTGCTTAATAGCAATGCATTGTTATACCCATATTTTGTCATCTTTTAACCGTTTAATTGTCATGCATGCATATGACTAAACATTACAATTACATTTACAGATTTTAATTTATTTGCAAGAAGATGCTTTTTTATGTATAGCCTGCCTGCGTGTCCGCGCTATGAAGTATAACACGGTGTTCTTTTAGGAGGTGATGAAGGATTACCGTGATGAGGTGAAGGATGTCCTGGCAGCTGACAAGCGGCTGGCGGCTGAAGTGGAGTACGATCTCAAAAAGTATGAGGAGGAGGAAGAGGAGAGGGGAAGGGAGAGACTGAGTGGGGATCTTCCGTTGCCTCCCAATGGCCCTGCTGGCCCTGCCAGCCCTGCCAGCCCCAGGGTCCACTCTCCCACTGCTGCCCCTGCTCCACGAGTACGTGTCCTCCTTCAAGCACACAGCACCTTCATTTCATAGTTTGCACACGAAAGTTGCGCTTTGAATGCAGGCCGTTGTGCAAAAGTAATACATTTTTCTTGGTACAATGTGAAATAATGCCAAATTTGTTTTCCGGTTTCCTAATGTTCAAAATAACTCCCTTAGATATTGCAACAAATGCCATCTTTAATGGGTGATTAATCAAACCTGTTGTTGTAGGACTGTCATTCACTGCACGTAAGCAAAGATGGTGCTGCCAATACGTCAAATCCAAGCCCGTTAGGAGGTGAATCAAGCAAGCCGCATGAGCCCAACGGTATCAACTACACACCTCTTGCCAACAAACCCAGGTCTGTACCGATGCGACTACTCTTGTAAAAAATGTAAAATGTGTACGAGAAATTAGTGTTACGATGTAACGGCATCTGCTTTGTATCGAAGGTTTATCTGTGGTGCGGTGTGATAGACCACAGGCATAACCACACTTCAGGGGTGTAAAGCGTTTTAATGTTGAACCAATGGCTTCCTTACACCAATGGGAAACCCACCACCAATTTCACAAAAGACAAAGATCCCCCATATAGACTGCAACAGACTGTTGGAGCAAATGCTGTTAGCGAGCACCTATGAAGGCTGGCACTGCACACGAGGTGTGAGTGGCCACCAGCACCAGGACCGGTTCAGATATTCGTCACTGTTGTTGGTAATGGGCAGGAATCTAACTCGGGATACCGGGTTCATAGCGCAGTGCGCTAACACGACACTACCGGTGCCCATACATACATCAACCGCTATTCAGCACTAAGTGACGGTGACGTCACCACGGCGCTTGTACCAGGCTATGTGCACGTTGAGGTCACGTGAAGTGTCGAATGCCCGCCGGCAGGAGGTCACGGGGCAGACCCTCACACCCAGCCCTGCTCCACCTCTTCCCCTCCTACATGAGATGGCAGTCCTCTGCTTAGACCAAATCCAGACCCAATTTTCCGATGCTTGAAGTTGTCGGGAGCTGTGTTGTGCTGAGTGCGGAAGCCCCCAGATGTTGCAGGCAACGCTGCGTGTTTTAAATTGCAGGCTGTTGCGTACGTGTGTTTTTACCCACAAGTGCCAACCAGTTTTAGGCATTAACTTGATGGGCTTTGGGTGTTGTCCTTTGCAAGTGCCCTCCCAGCTCTCGGTTGTACTCTTTAGGGTTGAACTCTTTGGGGTTGTCCACACAGCACCCCTACTGCCTCCCCAGGCAATTGCCACAGCACCTTGGGTGTCTGGCCCTTGCACATGCTTCACCTGTGCCACCCCCCTCCTAGATGATGCTGGTCGCTGTGAGGTCCACTCATCTCCATGCAGGCCGTGCGCTCTGCGAGTCTCTTTTCCACTTGGTTGATTGAATTCCCCTGTGTGATCATTCTCCTTACACAAAAACTATTACAACAAGTTTCACAACACTGGTTCCCACTGACCCCAGCTCAGTCACACTTAACCCGTGTGGAAAAAGACTGAAGGAACCTCTTAAGTCCCCCTGGGTACTTCTCACCAACATTTATTCCTCTATAGTATCCAGTATTACGAAAACATGAAGAGTACCTTTATTCCACCAACTCGATAATTTCAGATGTAAGATAAGGAAAAAGAATACAACGTCACCTGGTCTGGGATTTTAACCCCCCCCCCCCCCACTACGTAGGGCACTCATGCTCACGCCCTGGCTAAATCCAATGCACCGCTTGCTCCCACATGATTTACTATCGTGCCTTGTGTTTGCCTTGTAACAAATAAGTTGGGGCTAAAGAAGGAGATGTATTAATTGCTGCTGGGTTGACTATAAATAATTTGCGCTCCTGTTTGTGAGCGATGGGTTATTCAGCTTCCCCCCCCACCCCTGTGATTCGTCCAGCAGGCATCAGTCGTTGAGCACCGTCGCCATCGTGAACTCGGCCAGGAAACTGGTGGCGGCGCAAAGAAAAACCCACAACCAGAGTATTAACGTCACTCCGCCCCCGTCGAACTCCAAACCTGGCAAGGACTTCACGAGACATTCAACGCATGTGGAAAACGCTATCACGAGGCGCACCACCCATGTCCCCTTCACCTGCTGTAAATGCCTCGGGCTCTGTTTTTGTTGTTAAATCTTTGCATTAATCTAAAACTTCTAAGCATAGCTGCGTCACCCGATGAGAGGCTGGTTGTAATGACTGGCGAAACGTCGTACTTGAATTATAAATGTTGTGGGTTTACTCTCCAACACACCGGTGTGCTGAACTAGTAGCGAATTGACACGTTTTGTTTACGTGACAAACCTTACTAATTGGCTGTGTCAGGTGGTGGCGGTTTTAGCGACACGTGTATATTTATGCGATCTAACCCAAAAAAAACCTCTTAAGGATTCTAAGTTTGTATGTTTATTTTTCAGGATTGGAGCTAAACCACAATACACAGCAGAAAGCTTCCGAGCCTCGAGTGACCCAAGGAGCGAGTTGGAGAGCCTTCAGTACCCCAGATCGTAAGCACGTTATCCCTCTGTTCTTATCTTCCTTACATGTGATTTGTCAGTATGGACTTGTTCTTGACACCTCGCCTTCAACTGCGAGGAAAATCTCGACACGTGCAGACTTGTGTATATATAACGCCCATTGTTTTGCAGACACGATGGGTGACATGACATTTGCCAATGCGGATGTTGATCTGAGCGTCATCACATCTCCTCCCGCTGTGCCCAATGGTAAGTTCTGTGCTATTGCTTAGTGTCTCTAACCTTATTACGTTGTATCAAAACATGCACTGCAGTTTGTGTTCAATTTATTTGCAGCAAGTGGAAGTCAAGAGGCAACCGCGTGTCCTCCGAAAGATATTCTTTGCCTCTTGTCTCCAGACAAGCCGTGAGTTATTTTTCACATGGTCATATGCAAAAGTGAAGTTATAAAATCGTCTATATTACAGTGTCCATATTATGAATTAACATGGAAAATAAAAGCTGTGATTTTTAGTTAATGCCTAAACAAAATGATGGTATATTGCATCTTCAAATGTGCAGCAAATTATAACATCAATCATACAGTTTTGAAGATAGATATGAGTTCACTGCAGTTAGTGGACTGCCGTACGTACAGTAAATATGTATTAAATACTATTTAATTTGTTTGACATAATTATGTGTAAATAAACTTCCATAATATAGCATTGGTTAATTATTTTTAGTCTTATCGAGAGGGTTTTTACTCAACTGTTGTTCATATCCGCTGTGCAAGCGTCATTGTCATGGACGCCACCGTTAAGTTTATTTGTTTGCACGTTATTGACATTGTCACGTTTAGAGCGAAGCGTGGTTTTATTTTGCTCGGCCAAATGTCATGAAGGAAGCTGTGTACGGCTAACTGGTCTTCTCTGACGAACCCCCTCAGAGCACCATCGATCAGGCCATGGAACCTGAGCTCTCCCACTGGGAAAAACAAGAAACCTTTTCAACCACGGAGAAACAGCGCTGCTCAGAAGTTTCCCCTCTCCCCATGTAATTCACTCAAATGAGACCCGCACATGCGAAGCACTTGGTCAAAGTGTTTACGAACTAGTATTTTTATTTTCAGTATTGAGCTGGCCTTGGTGCACATTACGTTTGCTTATGAGAGAAACAACATGTATGACACATTATTTTGAAGATTATTATTGCCAGCTAATGTTAAATGTAGTTTTACCATGTACAGAAGATATATATGCATAGGGTTTTATACTTGTAAATCCATGTTTTATTTTACCTAGTTATACAATGCACTTACGTTTTTTTGTTAAGTTTTCAATTTGTCCTTTTTTTGTCCTTTCAGAGATGTGGGGGTTTTTTTTATTGGGGAGAAATTGGAGTCGTGTTTGTGAGTACTGTAATGTTCATGCACCCGCAGCCGATCAGAGATGGGGGTTTAAGACCTTTATACGGCGGATAAACATTTTTTTCTTTTTAAATAAATCTGATGAGGAACAAATAAAGTCTATGCATCTGTGCACAGTTTTTGTTGCTGTTGCATTTCTCCTTATTGTTGATTCTCACATCATTGAAACTTGATTCAAAGCTTTCGTGACTGCAGGAATTACTCATTGGTTCTTTAGGTAAAGTCACGTAAAAATAAAATAAATAATAGAATACGACGTTTCGATTGCAACACAAGCAACCGTCATCAGGTATGAATGAATGAGAAAACAAATCTAGCAAACTTAGAGAAATGTAATGCAATGCAACAGAGAGTCTGCTAACAACAGTTAACACATTACCTGGTTGATTGCGTTCTTCCATAGATTGCTAAATTTGATTGAGACAAATACAGACAGAGAAACAACAACTCTGTCGAGGCATTATATAGAGTGGGGGGGGGGGGAGGCAGATAAATTATGTCAATGAGAGCAGCCGGAGGAGAGAAATTAAACCTGGAGACAAACCTGGTAAAATTGAAAGTCTTGAAAGTGGGAAGAACACACACGCATTACTTCTCCCTTCTGGCAGCTGCAGGGCCTCTGCCTCTCCACTGTCCCACCATGTTCGTATTGCTTTTTTAATAAAAACGTTTTAATATGGTTAATAGTTTTGCAATGTTCTCAGTTATTGATTCATGGACTGGGTTGAAACGAAAGGTTTTATTTTCATGTTTATTGGACAAGCAGTTGCCATTATTTGCAGTTTCTACAATGGCAAAATAAATTTCATATTATATACTCTGTATGATAGATTCACAGGAAAGTGAAATGACATTGGTATAGTCCTAAGCATGTTGTGGTGACAACAGTGATTATCAATAGGAACATTTAGATGTTTTTTTATATTTATTCCCTAGAATCTCATTTGGTATTTGAAAGAAGATGTATTACACATGCTGCTTTTTCTGCAGTGTATATCTATTGCTGGTATGCATGGAAATGCATTAATGCAAAAAATACATGACTTAAATATATTGATTTATAAAATATATTTTTGGGAATACTGCACATGGTTAATTTGAGTGGAAACCAAAATTGGCAGTCGTCTTGGTTTTCTTCCACATATATTACTGTTTACATGTCACCTTTTGACTTGAGTAATATTCCGTTGCTAATGTAAAAATATTCACGATTGTGTTTTGTATATAGAGTGCTTTAGATTAAATGTTATGTTGTGAAAAGTGGGCAAAATAAGCACTGGGATTAACTCTAATGCTAAATTGGACTGACTAAAGTTATGGATCCTGATGTTGACTCAACTGACTCGTTACTATGCTCAATATAAAGTATGGCATTACCAAATATGGACTAGACCAAGAAAACTTAATAGCTTTGTAGCTTGAACAGACTTCGAATATCCAATAACATTTGCGCACCACAGTTCTGAGCAAAAACAACCACATTTGGATTTTATCTAAAGCCATTTCTCAGGAAACTTGCTCGATCTACTAAAGTGTGATTTTCTTATTTGTTTTCGAAGGTACAGAATTGCCATCTTTTACGGTAAATATGCCGCTGTCGTTTGAATAAGACTGCAGAGGTAGCCCGTCGTCTGTGGGCCACGTTCATTCACCAGAGTCCTGCAAGACTTGCTACGGTGTTTACATATACTGTATCCTCTCCCAAGCCTCTGGATAAAGGACCGTTTTACACATGCCATGAATGTTGAAAATATCTTCAGTACTTTTTGTGTTTAGATTTCTAGTGGTTCATAAAAAAAACTGCTTCCTTAATGATCCAAAAAGTGATGTTTAGTCCACGTTTTAAATGTCAGGGTTGACGTGCAGTTAAAACAGTCACCCTGATATTTAAATCCTAACAGTATTAACCAACTAGGCATTAATATCCTGGCAGTTATGCAAGTGCTGATGAGTTATAATTTCCTAAAAAGTGAATCGCAGCTTATTTGCATGAATCCAAATATTTTGTTAATGCTTAGGAGCGGAAAAATTATAAACGTGTTGGAGAAAAAAATTAATGTTCCAAATGGCAACCCGAAAATGTCGAATGAAACTTCCATATTCATCAGCAACACTAACAGTAGTGCAGCTATGTATGATCATTATAAAGAGTGTGTAAAATTTAATTTAGAAGAAAAAAATCCGTTGTGAAATGTATCTGGAACATTAGCATTTTGTATTAAATTCCAATGGTACATTAACATTTTTGTACTGTTTATTTTTTCAATACCAAACCTGAAATAAAAGCTTCCAGGGCGAGTCCTGTGTGTTCTCGCCAAGGTTTTGATGTAGAAAACAAAACTGCGTATACAATGTTACATTAAATGCAATCCGGTGCATCATTGGGTGTGGTTTTGTATTGGAATGTCCAGTTATTCATGGAAGAAGTATATATGGCTTTTTAGAACCAAGAGGGTCATGTAAATCCGTTATCTGGCCACATGCGATGTGTGACCGTATGCTATCGGGGAATGCAACATGTACCTTGCTGACGTACACTGTACCAATCAATTTTCTGGCTCTAGGAGTTTCTGCTTGTGCAATAATTGCATTATCTATTTGGCCCCAACGGACCACGCCTTGTTGATTTATTTCCCAGCCATCCCCCTCAAAACACACCGTCACGTTTCTGTTTATTCATGGGCGCAGGTGTTTTCCAGAATCAGGTGTTTTCATTGTTTTGCGATGCTTGTATGGCGAAGGAAGACCAAAAAACAACACCGAAATAAACATTACTTTCAAGATTTAGCACTGTTCGCTTTTATAAATAAAAATTGTGTGTGCAATACACGTGTTTAATTAAGTTTTGGCAGCCTGTTTGTGTAACCTGAAACCTGCCATTATATATGAAGTGTATACACTGCATGACATGGCTGAGATATGGCTCCAGTGCAACTGACATTTGTTGATTCAGTGTCAACTGTCTTGACGGATTGGAAACCGAATTAGACCACCGTCGTTTGAGCCACCTTTTTGAGATCACTGTCAACAGCATCCCTTGCTCTCGTATCGGATCGGTGAACAGGTGAGGTTCAACAATGGTTTGTAATTTTCAGGCCTTTTCAAGTCCAATTGTGGATTAAGGCCTCCCTTTCCCCATGTTGGTCATGGGATTTATTTGATTACACTTCACCACATTGGTCAGTGTGGGTTGGCGAAGGTAGGTTGGCCAGTACATGTTCTCATATAGCTCACCACTCATGTCAGCCGTGGCTGGGATTTGAACTCTTGTTTCTGTGTTCGTAGCAGTTTTCTAACCACGGCACCACTGCTCCACCCAAAAATTCAATACGTATGGAATCGCTGTATGTCATCGTTAGTTGTTAATTGGTCAACACGTTCAAATATTGAGTAAGTTTCATGAGATCTACTTGAATTTTTGGACAATACCCATATCACACCATTAATAACCCTCTTTGCACGGAACCTAATACAAATCGGAGGGATGTCCCATCCAAGGTATGAAATATGAAGTATCTATGCGATAGTATTATTGTTATACAAGTGAAGTGAGTCCACCTGAGTCGCAGACGTCTTGGGAGCAATACGTTTTTATTAAACTTAGCACAACATACTCCAGGCTATTAACACAACACACTCCAGGCTATTAACACAACACACTCACGGGGGGTGACCACCCAACGAACCACGCTACGGCGGAACTAGACACGGTTCCACAATCCCGGTCTGGACCACGTGGCTGGAGGCTTCTTCAAGCTCGACGTGGATTTCCTGCCTCTCCAACAGTAAAAAATTAACCCGTAAAAACAAAGTTTTTCACTATAAATCCTTTATATGCGTGGCGGCTAGAGTCCTCGTCCTCTGGCTTGAGATGGCTGCCACCTATGGGTCAGATGATTGCCTGCCACCATTAAGCAATTGGTAATTAAATATAAAAAAAAAATCCTAAAAAGTGTAAAAATTTGGAGAAAAAAAAATTCACGAAAATTAATTGTCACGCACAACGAGTCTGTGTGCATAATGTCAGCTCGATTGGATAACGGGAAGTGGGTTAAAAAACGACCGAAAGATTTGCACGGTCGTAAGCGCGCAAGCAAGCAAGTAAACTTAATATAAAGGATTTAAAAACCCCGATCCCCTCTCAGGGCGCCCTTTATATCGGACCGGGCTGGGGCTGGCTCACACCCCGCCCACCTTCTCGGTCTCTCGCCTTTGCCCGAAGGCTCTCGAGAGTTCTTCCCGGACCATGTGACCACCCATTAGCCCCCTCCACCGGTGGCCCCCTCCCGTATCGTTCTGTCACGTGTCCCCAGGTCAGCCAGAGCATCATGCCCCCAACGTAACCCTAGCTGGCTGACACTCTCGCTCTCTCAACGGGAGCCCGCACCGCACGCTGTGCGTGGTGCCACCGCGCTTAACCAGCGCTCACCCGAGCCCCCACTAGGGCTGGTACTACACCCCGTGTCCGGGGTGTACACACAACCGCAGACATCCCGCCGTGGCCTCGCAGGCCCGGCACTATTAAAGTTAAACATACACGTACAGAGTTTACAGCAATGATTAGCAATGATTAGTGCCCTATAGTCCCAGCAGGGCTTATATAACCAGAATCTATATTTATCCTGGAGAAATCCCATGAACTATGAAGCTCTTTCAAATGTCCAGTGCTTTTTCCAGATGCCCACTACTGTCTATAAAATAGCATTACTGTTTCATAAATGTGTGACATGGAGCAATTATTTTCTGATTGGGAAAAGGTGTAAGCCTATCAGAAAACAAACAATTACAATGCTAAAGATTATAACAATGTTTTGTAATGCATAAAACACTGGGTTTAATATATTTAGCACAGATTAAAGTTGAACATTGAAAATTTGCCTTAATTTATATTGCTGCGACTTCCCCCCCCCCCCCCCCCCCATTTCGCATTCTGTCCACCTTCCACAGGCACCGATGCAAGTATGAGATGTGTGAATTTCCATACTTAGTATGCCAAGTGCCATATATCATGGGGGGACGGGGGGGGGGGGGGGCTGTCGCATGCAATATTTTCTTTAATTACAGCAATTGGTGTTGAAACGTGCGTGTACAGGTAGCTGCTTGCACACGTAAGCTGCTA